ACAACAACCCTATGAAAGAAAAATCGTTATGATCATACCCCTTCTACAGATGAGGAAACTGAGGCACACAGAAGTGAAGGTCACAGAGTTAGTAAATAGCAGAACCAGCTAAAGACTCAGTTAGTTGTGCTCAGAGCCCACTTTCTTGATGACTTCACACACTGCCTTTCAATAAGCAAAGCTAGGGACCTACAATTCTTGGCTTAGCCCATGTATTAATAACACATGCCTGTGTCTGGGTCTCTTAGTTACCCAAGGAAGCAAGGACCCCAGGGTAGCATGGTGGTCCTCCCTAACCTCTCAGCTTCTGAACATCATCCCATCGCCACACACAGGAGGAAACAAGCTCTCTTTCAGGCCATGGTGGGTATAAGGTATGGTCTATGAAAAGGTCCCATTTGGTCCTTTCTGTTTGACCCACTATTAAGCCTCCATAAAGCTTCCTAGTAAAAGAAAAGCTTCCTTAATGAGAAATTCCCCATGATAGCAAACCTGTCATTCTCTCAGGCCAGATTGTCATGGAAACTTTTATGAAGAGGAGCCCAACCCTCTGGTCTTCGGGCAGCAAAAGAATCCACGCAGTTGTTCCATTGTAAAATTATACCAATTTATTCATTGCAACAAGTGAGGCAATGGCACGAGTTTCTTTTACTGATGAACAGAATTGAAACATAATGAGAGGAACACAGTCAGAGTTTAATTTGTCCAACCTCATGCCACTCAGCTAGCCCACATCCTGCAGTCTTCCAACAGCCCAAACAATGCATTTGAAAAATAGGAATCATTGGACCAGAATTATAAAATAATTTTGAGTTGGAAAAAAAATGCATTGCTCTTTAAAATAATACTCAGGCATCTTAGTAAAAATAATAATCGCCTTATATTCTAAAACAGAGTCAGAAAACTATAACTTGCACCAAATCTGGCTTGCAACTCAAAGCTAAACATGATTTTTGCATTTTTACATGGTTTCAAAAAAACAATCAAAGGAAGAATGAGATATTAAGACATGTTAAAATTCTATGAAATGTAATACATAATGCATGTAATACATAATGTTTTATTGGAACATAGACACACTCATTCATTTACTTATTGTCTCTGGCTGCTTGCACGCTACAAAGGCTCACAGTCTAAAATATTTACTATCTGGCTCTTTATAGAAAAAGTTGTAGACCCCTTTCTAAAGTGATAAATGATAAATATATTGCCCTAACAAGTTTCTCACTGACGAATTGTGGAACTGTAGTTTTTAATTGTTAGAAAACAGTGAAGCATTTTGTGACTTATCTCAGTAATTAATTTCTAAAAACCAATTCTAAATAGACATTGGAGCTTATTACTCATTCTAATGATAAGTTGCAAGTTCTTAATTGTTCCAAGGGGTGTTTTTTCTTACACTAAAATGATGTATGACTGATACAAACCAGGAAATTTCTTCAAATGCCTGAGTGAAACAAAGAAAACATCCCATGCACATGCATATTTACTTGGCAGGAACATTTTGCTGCTTAGCTTGAAACCAAAACAACTAAAGCCAGTAAAGACAGAGCACGTGGACTTCGTTCCTGCCTCTTGCTTATTCCAGAATCCTTAATCCACAGAAATTTTTTTGTGCAGCTTTACATTAAGCATTTCAAAAGGAAAACAGGGGAATGGACTTCTTTTGAAAATGTATGGTTTGTTGTTGTTTATGACTACCCTTTGACAGTGGCTAAGTCGTGTATTTATATTTCTCTTTTAAAAAAGGAATATGTCACAGGATTTGACTGTCTTTCTGACCTTTTATATTTCTTGTGCTCAATATATACTTGTAATGTCCTGCAGTCTGCAGATTCACTCTGATTCTCATCCATGCTGCTCCCAAAACACATGCCTCTAAAATTCTTTCAAATCTGGCATCGTCATTTACTTTGAAAGTCAATCCCTAAGCAAAGGCTGGAAAAACACAAAACAGACTCATCAATTATTATTATTCAGGCAACTCCTAGGACTTTACAAATGTGCTGTAATAAATTAACTTTGTTATCTCCCTGAGTTACACAGAAGTTTTAGTTGTATTCAAATGCTAAACTAAGCAACAGATTCTTCATGGGGGGTACTGGCAAGAAAGAAGTCCTCGACTGAGGACCTGGGAATATGTATGTGGTGTAGTCTCAGGTCTTCTGTGTACGCATTCTATAAACTATGGGAAAGTATGGAAACTTTGCCATAGTTTGAACATGTATGAACAAAATATGAATTAGGACCTTGGAGAAAACGTTCTACTCTTATGTCAAATTCACATTGTTCAAATATGATTTAGAGTTTTGCAGAATTCTATGGAGACATCTTTCTTGTGATCTTAATCAGAAAATTATTTATGACTCATAGATCCCAAAGACTCCTTTAAACAAGTTTGGGAAGCTGCTGAAGCTCAATCAACATCTTTAAAAGCAGTTCTAAAACATAGTTACGAGGAAATGCAGTATATTTTCCCAAACAAAATAAAAAGTTTTTGTCTCTCCCATTCAACCACTTCAAGAGAAATTTACTTTAGTCCAGAAATACATTAGTTAATTTTTATAAGCAGTTTTTAAAAGAAATAGGCCTGAAGAAAATTTATTTAGCCAACAAAAATTTTCCCCGTTCTACTTGAGGTACTTACTAATGCCACTGTTTGCCTTTGCTAGTCGTTACCAGCTCTATCTGAGTCAAAGAAGAGAAATATCTCTCTGCCACAAATCCCAAAAGGAATAAAAAGTGGGGAAAGGCAGAACATATTTAATTAGGCCTAGGCCTGTTGCCTGATTTTCATTAGGCCCCTGACTGACTCTGATTTGGCCCACTATAAGTCCTTTTAGGCCACTGGGCATGAAGGCCAGTGCTTATTTTCATGGCTGTTTCAATTCATCAAGAAAATCCTTTGAAAGATGAAAGACACTCCACATTTTTTCACCTGTTGTTCTTTCTTATGTGCTTGTCACTTCACTCGCCAAACTCACTTCAAGCCAAACCAAATGCTTTCCAAACCTCTACAGTATGCCTTTGAAGATCTTAAGTTAAGTATTTTCTTATGCTGACCAGTATAGCTTCCAAATAAGGAATAAAAAAATAACGTAGTTCTTAAGTTTTTTTTTAATACCAGAAATGTAAAAACACATTCCAGTATGTGGATAAAAGCAAAATTCCACTTCCCCAAGTTTAGAAGTCTTGAGCCAAATACACCTGATGTTCATTACCACACCCACAGCACATTGCTAATATATGACAAAGTTCCAGCAAAGACCATATGTTGTTTTTATTATTGCCACTTCACAAGTTTTCCCAGGCTCACTAGAAAAAGTATTCTACAAGACCAGCCCACTGAGTGGGCTCATCTTACTACACTGATGAAATTTAGTCTGTTATTTACCTGATTAGCAATAAACATCTCTCTTTATTTCCAACAACACAGCAATTAGGGCCCTAATCTGTCACCACTACCTTCAAGTTTTGGCTTTCATCAAAAGAAAAGGAATTTGCCAAGAAGGAAAAACACAGCTCTACTTTCAAGCTAAAAATAGTTCTGTCTTCTAGACAATATACACTTTCACACGGCTCCAGCAAACATTGCTTCAAGCAGCCTACAAAGGATATATCAGGAGAAGTACACAATAGGCCCAAGTTTTAAGTACTGGTTTAGCCAAAAGATGCAAACAAGCAAAAGCTGATACAGAAAAGCCAACCCAGGTGATATAAGAGGAAATGAAATCTCTAATCTGTTGATACTTTTTGAGGGGATCAAAAATAGATAAAACAAAACCACTGGACATAGTCGATATATCTAAATTTCCAGAAACTTTTTATAAGCCTCTCTACCAAAGGCTTAATTAAAAAGTTGTTATGAAGGTTACATTACATATTTATTCTTAGGCAGAAAACCAACTAAAAACCAAAGAACAAAGTAGAGGCAGTTCCCTAGGTGGATCTTATTTAGCATCGCCATAGATTATCTAAAAGATGACAACGATGATTGTCGTTACCATTATAATTACTTATTATAATTATTTCATGTCCTATATGCTATACCAAGCACTTTATGTACATAATTATTAGGTAGGTAATGTTATCTCAATTTTACAGAAGAATCTGAGGTTCTGAGATGTTAGGTAACTTGTCCAAAGACACACTGTTAGCAAGTGATGCCAAACTGAAGGTAATCAATTAAACTAATCCACCAGTGAATTCATTTTTCTGAAGTTTTCACAATGACGAAGTCATTTATTTGCTTATCTATGAGACAGGGTCTCACTCTGTCATCCAGGCTGGAGTGTATTGGCACAATCACGGCTCATTGCAGCCTCAAACTCCCACACAAGCAATCCTCCCACCTCAGCGTCCCTAGTAGCTGGGACAACAGGTGCACACCACCGTGCCTGGCAAATATTTTTTTTTTTTTGTAAAAATGATGTCTCCCTGTATTGCCCAAGCCAGTCACAAACTCCTGGACTCAAGCAATCCTCTCTCCTCAGCCTCCCAAAGTGCTTGGATTGCAGGAGTAAGCCACCATACCTGGCTGACACAGTCACTTAGATATCTGTTAATGTTTTTTAAAAACAAAAACAAAAAACACACGACTTTATTTCTGTAAGGCATAGCAAATAAGAAAGAAGTAATGGTTCCCTTACCTCAAGGGGACTAGAAATTTTTCAGGGATCAGTTCAATTCTTGCTCACTCCTGATGTGTATCAAATATGAGAAAAGTTAATTCATTCAATGGATATCTAGTATAAGTACCTACTATGGACCAGGCAGTATATGTCTATCCTAAACTTGATTGTGGAAAAGAAATGAAAGGATTTGTCCATATCTATCAGAATGTTCCATCTACAGCTTGAGTTTGCCCAGTTCTCATCAGCCTATGAGAACAAATAAGGTTGCATTAATCAGTTAACCCAGATTTCATGGCTTTCCCTGGGATGCAGCCATCAATCAAGCACTGCCCAAGTAGTTCTGGTAAATCCCTGGGTGCATCTCACCTGTGATAATGAACAAGCCTTGTCAGATACCATGTGGCTTCCAATTCCTCTTGCCCTTTTCTGGCCCTCTCCAAGGACATTGTTGAAACTGGAAGATAAGCCCTTTCTCTTTAGATTGTACTACATTCTGTTAGAGAGATCTCAAGTAATCTTACTGGTACTTCCAGTATCCAACAGTTTTAGCAAAACAACTCATTTAGTATTCATTTATAACTTTACCCTCAACTCTCTGAAAGACTGAGACATGCTCTAAAGGGAGGCCAGAAATGGAGACAAATCTGAGTCATAGACACCACACCATTCTCAGAATAGCCCCCCTCCTCTGATGACTAAGACTTATTACTGGATCAAGCTGTCACCCCTAACTTCCTCACCCCTTATAATAATTATCTCCCAGGATGATCTTAAATCCTTCTACAAACAGACTTCTGACAGGCTGTGCCCACCAGTAATTATAACATGTTCAGAACATGGCTGAACATCAGTGGGAGCCACTGTGTAGGTTTATTGCTGTGTTCAAACACCCACTCCCCAACACATATACCCCTTACTAAGAAACAAACACTTTGAGGGTGAAAGGGGGTGCTAAAGATGAAATTAAATTATCCTTGCATTCTGATATGGCTTATTTGGGAGCTCTGGTGGGCAGTCAGGATACAGCATACTTTCTGGGTAGGTAGACCACCAAGAGACAATGATTATGGTCAATACAAGAACAGCCTGTGTAGAATTACAAGGATAAATTAAGTTCAGGCAGATTGGCTCTAAATGGAGATTTGGTGGATGAACAGGAATTATCCACAAAAAGCACAAAGCACTACCGATCTATTTTTATGGCCACTAACAGAGTATAAGTTTAGGGAGTGTAAGTCTGAATTCCTCATATCTGAAAACAACAGTCTTCTGACACAGACAGTTGGTGCCTCACCCATATTCCCTGACCCACTCCTGTAGCATTGGTTGCCTACTGCTTTGGCAGACAGTTCACTTCACAAACCAATGAGTTCCTACCTCAAGCATTTGTGTCTCTTTGACTCTGGACTTCCTCTGCCTGAAGAGCATGTGCTGCCCATATCCAGGTAGGCCAGAAATAGTGGGGAGTTAATTTCTCCAGACATAAACTTCAACCTGTAAAAGATGGAAAATGGTAAATAAATGTCCCAGCTTCCTTACCCCTTGTAGCAACTACAGTTTCTTAGAGGGTCTCCAGCAGGATTGAGTCCCAGGTACCCACGGTGGTAACCACTCCTGAATGCACTCTCTTTTGACTTTTCACAGGTCTCCATCCCACAATCCTACTCCTTCATGGTGCTTCCAGGGACCCCTTCAAAAATAAACTACTTGCCCCCAAATCCTTGTTTCAGGATCTGATTCAGAGAGAATCCAAACTAAGACATCTTTTTTCTGTAAGAATTATCTCAAATATGAATTAACCCACTGTGCTTCTCCACAATAAAACAAAGAGTTTTAAAGAAAGGAAAACTAATTTCAGAAGCTTGAGAACCTTACCTGTACCCAACTTCATCATTTTAAAAGTGACTGAAGTTCAGGACTAAGGAAACACAAAAGCTTCCACGCAGGTTCCCATTGCAGAGAAGAAAGCTTGAGTTTGTCAGAGCAGGTAAAGGGAGAGAAAGAGAAACCTCTTCTTCTCAATTTTATCCTCACTTTCAATGCAATGCAAACAAAAGACACAAAATAAAGGTCACCTCTGAGAAGAGCATTACAAACAAATCTGAGAATATAATTTGATTTTTCAAAATCAAACTATAGGGCAGGGCCAAGATGGCCAACTAGAAGCAGTGGTGATCCAAGGCTCCCATCTAAAAGAACCAAAACAGCATATGAATCCTGCACAGCAACTGAGGTATCCAGGTTCTGTCATCAGAACTGACTAGGCAGCTGGCGTGACCCACGGAGAGGAAGGAAGGGCAGTGTGGTGCAGTAGCCCACCTTAGAGCCACACAGGGCAGGGGAGCCCCCATCCCCAGCCAAAGGAAGCAGTGAGTGAGCATGTTACCCAGCCTAGGAAACCATGCTTTTTCCATGGAACTGTGCAACCCACATACTGGAAGATCCCACTCGTAAGCCCGTCACCAGGGCCTTGAATCCTAGTCATGGAGTCATACAGATTCTCAGCACCCACTTGGCTGGAATCTGGCTAAGCTTGGCGAGTTCCTGGAGGGAGGCGCAGCCATCACCACAGCTGCGGCTGCCTGTTGTCTAAGCCACCTGAGCTCCTCGGGGGAAGCATGGCAGCCATCACTGCAGCTGTTAGCCACCTAACACACTAAGCTCCAGAAGGGGTAAGGGCAGTACCCATCACTATAGCTCCAGGCTGTGTTTTCCCCTGCTGGAGCCAGGGAGGCTGGATAGCTTGGTCCCAAGAGGTATTCCTCCAAGCCCAGCACACTAGCTGTGGCAGACAGACTGCCTCTTCAGTACGGACCCTGACCCATCCCTCCTGACTAGGTGGGGCCTCCCTGCAGGAACTCCAGCCAGGGGCTGAGGGGTAGAACTCTGATCTCCCTGGGCCTGAGCCCCTATGGGGAGGGTGGCCATAGTATCCATGGACCAACAGACTTAGTCTTTCCTCCTCCTAGCTCTGGAGAATCTTGGCATTCAGATGAGTGGGTTTCCCCCCAGAGCAGCACACCCCCTCCACCAAAGGACAGCCAAAGTACTTCCTTAAATGGGTTCTGCTTCCCATGCCAACTGGGTGAGACCTCCCCCTACAAAACAGGGTGGTCAGACACCCTATACAGGAGCATTCCTACTGGCATCAGGTTGGTGCCCCTCAAGGTCAGAGATACCAGAGGAAAGAGCAGACATCCATCCTTGCTGTTCTCCAACCTCCTCAAGTGACATTTCTAGGCATGGGAGCAGATTAATAGGGCCTGAAGTGAACCCCCAGCAAACCACAGTAGCCCTACAGAAGAGGGGCCTAACTATAGAAAGAAAAACAAAAAAGCAGAGAGCAACACAACAGCATCAACAAGAAAAGTCCCCACAAAAACCTCATCCAAGGGTCGGCAGCCTCAAAGATCGAAACTAGAAAAACTCATGAAGATGAGAAAGAATAAAAAAAAAACCACCACTGAAAAACCCAAAGGCCAGAGTGACTCTTCTCCTCCAAATGATTGTGACACCTTTCCAGTAAGGACACAGAACTGGACAGAGGATGAGATGGACAAATTGACAGAAGTATGCTACAGAAGGTGGGAAATAACAAAATTCACTGAGCTAAAGGAGCATGTTCTAACCCAATGCAAAGAAGCTAAGAACCATGATAAAATGTTACAGGAGCTGCTAACTAGAAAAAACCAGTTTAGAAAGGCACATAAATGACTTAATGGAACTAAAAAACACAGCACGAGAACTTCATGAAGCACACACAAGATAGCTGAATCAATCAAGCAGAAGAAAGAATATCAGAGATTGAAGATTATCTTGCTAAAATAAGGCAGGTAAACAAGATTAGAGAAAAAAGAATGAAAAGGAATAAACAAAACTTTTGAGAACTATGGGGCTATGTAAAAAGACTGAACCTATGATTGATTGGAGTACCTGAAAGAGATGCGGAGAATGGAAGCAAGTTGGAAAACACACTTAAGAACATTATCCAGGAGAACTTCAACCTAGCAAGACAGGCCAACATTCAAATTCAGGAAATACAGAGAACCCTACTAAGATACTCTATGAGAAGATCAACCCCAAGACACATAATCATCAGATTATCCAAGTGGAGGTGAAGGCGAAAATGTTAAGAGCAGCTAGAGAAAAAGGCCAGGTCACCTACAAAGGGAAACCCATCAGACTAACCGCAGACCTCTCAGTAGAAACTCTATAAGCCAGAGGAGATTGGGGGCCAATACACAAGATTCTTAAAGAAAATAATTTTTAACTCAGAATATCATATCCAGCCAAACTAAACTTCATAAGTGAAGGAGAAATAAAATCCTTTTCAGACAAACAAATGCTGAGGGAATTCATCACCACTAGGCCTGCCTTGTAGAGCTCCTGAAGGAAGCACTAAATATGAAAAGGAAAAACCTGTACCAACCACTGCAAAAACACCAAAATATAAAGGCCAATGACACTATGAAGAAACTGCATCAACTAGTGTGCAAAAATAACCAGCTAGCATTATGATGAGAGGATCAAATTCACAAGTAACAATATTAACTTTAAATGAAAATGGGCTAAATGCCCCAATTAAAAGACACAGAATGGCAAATTGGATAAACAGTCAAGACCCATCAGTGTACTGTATTCAAGAGACCCATAACCCATACAAAGACACAAATAGGCTCAAAATAAAGGGATGGAGGAAAATTTACTAAGCAAATGGAAAGTAGAAAAAAGAAGGGGTTGCAATCCTAGTTTCTGACAAAACAGACTTTAAACCAACAAAGACCAAAAAAGACAAAAGCATTACATAATAGTAAAGGGATCAATTCAACAAGAGGAGCTAACTATCCTTAGTATATATGCACCCAATACATCCAGATTAATAAAACAAGTTCATAGATACCTACAAAGAGACTTAGACTCCCACACAATAATAGTGGGAGACTTTAACACCCCACTGTCAATATTAGACAAATCAATGAGGCAGAAATTTAACAAGGATATTCAGAAATTGAACTCAGCTCAGGATCAAGTGGACCTAACAAATATCTACAGAACTCTCCACCCCAAAACAAAAGACTATACATTCTTCTCAGTGCCACATGGCACTTACTCTAAAATTGACCACATAATTGGAAGTAAAACACTCCTCAGCAAATGAAAAGAGAATGGAAATCATAACAGTCTCTCAGGCCACAGTGCAATCCAATTAGAACTCAAGATTAAGAAACTCACTCAAAACCACACAACTACATGGAAATTGAACAACCTGCTCCTGAATGACTCCCGGGTAAATAATGAAATTAAGGCAGAAATCAAGAATTTCTTCAAAATCAACAAGAACAAAGAGACAACATACCAGAATCTCTGGGATACAGCTAAAGCAGTGTTAAGAGGTGAATTTAGGCCAGATGCAGTGGCTCACACCTATAATCCCAGCACTTTGGGAGGCTGAGGTGGGTGGATCAGGAGGTCAGGAGTTCAAGACCAGTCCGGCCAAGATAGTGAAACCCTGTCTGTATTAAAAATACAAAAATTAGCTAGGCATGGTGGCACGTGCCTGTAATCCCAGCTATTCGGGAGGCTGAGGCAAGAGAATCCTGTGAACCTGGGAGGCAGAGGTGCAGTGAGTTGAGATTGTGCTACTGTACTCCAGCCTGGATGACAAAGCAAGACTCTGTCTCAAAAAAAAAAAAAAGAAGAAGAAAATTTATAGCACTAAATGCCCATATCAGAAAGCTAGAAAGATCACAAACTGACACCCTGACATCACAATTAAAAGAACTAGAGAAGCAAAAGCAAACAAATCCAAAAGGTAGCAGAAGACAAGAGATAACTAAGATCAGAGCAGAACTGAAGGAGATAGAGACATGAAAAATGCTTCAAAAAATCAATAAATCCAGGAGCTTGTTTCTTGAAAAAATTAATAAAATAGGCCACTCGCTAGACTAATAGAGAAGAAAAGAGAAGAATCAAATAGACACAATAAAATATGATAAATGGGATATCACCATTGACCCCAGAGAAATACAAACTACCATCAGAGAATACTGTAAACACTTCTATGCAAATAAACTAGAAAATCTAGAAGAAATGGATAAATTCCTGGACACATACATCCTCCCAAGACTAAACCAGGAAGAAGTCAAAGCCCTGAGTAGACCAATAACAAGTTCTGAAGTTGAGGCACTAATAAACAACCTACCAACCAGAAAAAGCCCATGACCAGATGGATTCACAGCTGAATTCTACCAGAGATACAAAGAAGAGCTAGTACCATTTCTTCTGAAACTATTCCAAACAATTGAAAAGGAGCGACTCTTTTATGAGTCACTCATTTTATGAGGACAGCATCATCCTGATACCAAAACCTGGCAGAGACACAACAACAAAAAAGAAAACTTCAGGCCAATATCCCTGATAAGCATCATGCTAAAATCCCCAATAAAATACTGGCAAACTGAATCCAGCAGTGCATCAAAAAGCTTATCTACCAAGATCAACTGAGCTTCATCCCTGGGATGCAAGGCTGGTTCAACATATGTAAATCAATAAAAGTAATCCATCACATAAACAGAACCAATGACAAAAGCCACATGATTATCTCAATAGAAGCAGAAAAGGGCTTCAATAAAATTTAACATCTCTTCAGGTTAAAAACTCTCCATAAACTAGGTATTAATGGGACATATCTCAAAATAATATGAACTATTTATGACAAACCCATAGCCAATATCATGTAGAATGGGAAAAAGCTGGAAGCATTCCCTTTGAAAACCAGCACAAGACAAGGATGCCCTCTCTCACCACTCCTATTCAACATAGTATTGAAAGTTCTGGCCAGGGCAATCAGGCAAGAGAAAGAAATAAAGCATATTCAAATCAGAAGAGAGGACATCAGACTGTCTCTGTTTGCAAACAAGATGATCCTATGTTTGGAAAACCCCATCGTCTCAACTCAAAAGCTCCTTAAGTTGATAAGCAGCATCAGCAGAGTCTCAGGATACAAAATCAATGTGCAAAAGTCACAATCATTTCTACACACCAACAATATACAAGCAGAGAGCCAAATCATGAATGAACTCCCATTCACAATTGCTACAAAGAATAAAATACCTAGGAATTCAGCTAACAAGGAACATGAAGGACCTCTTCAAGAACTACAAACCATTGCTCAAAGAAATAAGAGAGGATACAAACAAATGGAAAAGCAATCCATGCTCTTGGATAGGAAGAATCAGTATCATGAAAATGGCCCTACTGCCCGAGGTAATTTATAGATTCAATGCTACTCCCATCAAACTACCATTGACATTCTTCAGAGAATTAGAAAAAATTACTTAAAAATTCATATGAAACCAAAAAAGAGCCTGTATAGCCCAGAAAATCCTAAGTAAAAAGAACAAAGCTGGAGGCATCACACTACCTGACTTCAGACTATACTACAAGGCTCCAGTAACCAAAACAGCATGGGACTGATACCAAAACAGACATATAGATCAATGGAACAGAATAGAGACCTCAGAAATAAGACCACACACCTACAATTATCTTGTCTTTGACAAACCTGACCAAAACAAGCAATGGGGAAAGGATTCCCTATTTAATAAATGGTGCTAGGAAAACTAGCTAGCTATATGCAGAAAACTGAAGCTGGACCCCTTCCTTACACTTTATACAAAAATTAACTCAAGATGAATTAAAGACTTAAATATAAAACTTAAAACCATAAAAACCCTACAAGAAAACTAGGCAATACCATTCATGACATAGGTATGGGCAAAGACTTCATGACGAAAACGCCAAAAACAATTGCAACGAAGGCAAAAACTGACAACTAGGATCTAACTAAACTAAAGAGCTTCTCCACAGCAAAATAAACTATCATCAGAGTGAACAGACAACCTACAGAATGGGAGAAAATTTTTGCAATCTACTCGTCTGACAAAGGGCTAATATCCAGAATTTATAAGGAACTTAAACAAGTTTACAAGAAATAAACAAACAACCTCATCAAAAAGTGGGCAAATGACATGAACAGACACTTCTCAGAAAAAGACATTAATGCGGCCAACAAACATATGAAAAAAAGCTCAACATCACTCATCATCAGAAAAACGCAAATCAAAACTACAATGGGATACCATCTCATGCCAGTCAGAATGGCAATTACTAAAAAGTCAAGAAACAACAGATGCTGTTGAGGCTGTGGAGAAATAGGAATGCTTTTACCCTGTTGGTGGGAATGTAAATTAGTTCAACCATTGTGGAAGACAGTGTGGTGATTCCTTGAGGATCTAGACCTGGAAATACCATTTGACCCAGCAATCCCATTACTAGGTATATACCCAAAGGAATATAAATCATTATCTTATGAAGATACACACACACATATGTTTATTGTGGCACTATTCACAATAGCAAAGACATGGAAGCAACCCAAATGCCTATCAGTGATAGACTAAATAAAGAAAATGTGGTACATATACACAATGGAATATTGTGCAGCCATAAAAAGGAATGTGATAATGTCCTTTGCAGAGACATGGGTGAAGCTGAAAGCCATCATCCTTAGCAAACTAACATGGAAACAGAAAACCAAACACCACATATTCTCACTCATAGTGGGAGTTGAACAATGAAAACATATGGACACAGGGAGGGTAACAGCACACACCAAGACCTTTCAGCCTGGGGCAAGGGGAGGGAGACCATCAGGACAAATAGCTAATGCACGCAGGGCTCAAAACCTAGGTGACAGGTTGTTAGATGCAGCAAACCACCATGGCACATGTATACCTATGTAACAAACCTGCATGTTCTGCACATGTACTCTGGAACTTAAAGTAAAAATTTTTTTAAAAATCAAATTATAGCAATGTTGCATTCATTGAATGTAGTAACTCCACCTCTAAAAAAAGTCATTTTTGCAGACCCTGCTACCTGTCAGCCCATCATATGACCTGCTCCTTGCTCCAGCCACTACCAATCTGAGGTTCCCACCATGGACACTCCCATTCCCAGGGAGAGATGCCAGATCCCTAGCCAGCTTCTGAAGGAGGCAAGGACCCAGTTGTCCAGCTGATCCAGGAAGAGGACAGGAGTGAGCAGGCAGCCTGGGCAGCCCCTTATCTCAGAGGAGTTTGGGGGAATGAGGCACAGGGCTGGGAGTGGTACTCAGGTTTTTGGCCTATCCAAGGAAGATCTAAGTTTTATGGTGCCTGAAGTTTGTACAATTTGGTAGACTTTAAGAAAAATAATAGCTCTGTAGATAGAAGTCCTATATGGATCTCACCGGGCTAAAATCAAGAGGCCACAAGATGGCTAACTATAGACATCAGACACCTGCCCTCTTCAGAAAGAATAAAAATTGTAAATAGATAATCATATCTCAAATAGGACATCTAAGAGAGAACACTAGAATCCAACATAGAGCTCAAGGAAAATACCTGAGGCACAGAAGGGGAAGGAAGCAAGCAGCTGGCTCAACCAAGATCAAACAATAGCAAGGGGATTGGTATTGTGGAGAAAAGGTAAGTGAGAAAGCTTCAGTTGTCCACATCCCTGCCACAGACTGTTATCTGAACCACAGGAGAGTTTCTCTACCCACATGAACCCTGACACTAGCATGAGCAGTGATCTGGAGACCCTGCAAGAGCATTGCACCCAACAGAGAACTCGCCTTTTATCATTCAAACCCTGCTGAGACATGATCAGCTGTGGCAGGGACCCATTTGGGGAGTAGCTATCATGGAACGGCATCATGCTCTGGGAAGACAGCCCCTGTATCTCCACATCCTGGGAGCTCCCACCGACATTCCCCAGGATCCACTCAGAAGGCTATAGCAGCACAGCACTGGCTGGACCCAAAGGTACTGCAGGGTCTCTAGTACTCTAGCTCACAAGGAGTAGTGCTCCCCAGGGAAAAAGATGGTGTCATGTAGCAAAAGGCAGCCCCTGGGACAAAGGAAACCAAAGAATGTACTTTCCAGAGCCTGAAAACTCCCTACCTTGGGCTGTGTGAAGAGACCCTGCCCCTAGCAGTGGCCCAAACTGCTAGCTGTGACATCTAGCAGTCACATCTCCAAAAAGTGACATCCTCTTTACCAGTGGAGTAGCCTCTGGGCTCAGGCTTTTGCACAGAGAACAGGAATGCTCCTCTTCCTCCACACATCCACTCCTACTGCTGCAGGAGGCTTGTCCAAGGGAGAGCTGGAAGGTTACCTGTCTAGGATGGTGAGTGGTGACTCTCACCCCAACCCCCCATGGCAGCTTGGCTCTCATGCCTGGGCTTGTGCATGAGGCAGTGCCCCTCCCCTCCCTCTGTGTGGCACTACACAACTGCTGCAACAAAGAGAAGAGCTTGAGAGTGGCATGTCTGGGGATGTTGGGAGCAGCCCTGCACTGCAGCCAGCACCAACATCAGCTTGCACTGCTCAGGACACAGAGGGTCCGCCCACCACTGCCACCATGATAGTGCATGACACCCTGGTTTCCCAGGCACCAAAGAATCTGTTAACCCCCCCAGCCTGCCACTGCCACTACTGGAATCCATGCAAGCCACCTGAAGGCCCACCATAGGCCTACTGGGAACTGCCAACACAGATGCCAGCATACACCACCCTGGGCAAAAAGACAGGCATGTTCAGCATACTACTACTATTACTGAAGCCTAAAGCCTGGCCCACATGGCTTACCAGTCTCCAGTACAACTTCATCAAAGCCTCCACTAATAAATGCACCCTAACCCTCCGTGTAAATGCAAGAAAGCACTAACACTGTTTATAGTCAAAGAAATCATACAGAGAATACAGTATTGCACATACCCAGAATCAAAGCCAATGCGCCTTGCCTAACCAACACCACAGAGTCATCTTCAGGAAAAAGTCTTCCACTATGAAAGCAAATAGAAAAACAGAAAGAAGTGACTGTTACAGCAGATGTGCAAATATCAATGTAAGGATACAGGAAACATGAAAAAGCAAGGAAATATGATACCTGAAAAGGAACATAATAATTGTGCAGAAATTGATCTTAATTAAAAATAAAACTTCAAAATTCTAGATAAAGAATTCAAAATATTAATTTTCAAGAAGTCAGTGAAATGAAAGAGAATTTGGAAAAACAATACAAACAAATCAGGAAAATAAGTCAGGATTGTTATCTCTCACTGTATAGGAAAAATTATCAAAAAGATAGGTATTGACTGTTTTTAAACAGAACCTAATAGAAATTCAAGAAGAAATATAAAATACATTTGAAAGCTTAAACAACAGACTAGATTAGGCAAAAGAAAGAATCTTAGAACTTGAGCACAGGTTTTTTTTTTAAATAACCCAGTTGGACAAAAATAAAGAAACAAACATTGAAAAACTGAGCAAGGCCTTTATGACATTTGGTACAACATAAAGTGACCAAATATATGAATTATTAGTATCCCAAGAATAAATAGGCACAATGAAAGGATTAGAAAATACATTTACCAAAAGAATAGATGAAAACTTTCCAAGTCTAGCAAGAAATTTAGACATTCCGATAAAGGAGGCTAAATGATCCTAAGGAAGATACAATGCAAAAAGGCCTTCTCCAATGCATATTATAATCAGACTGTCAAAATAAAGAGCAAATCTTAAAACAGGAAGAGAAAACACCTAGACAGTTATAAGGGAATCCCTATGAGACTAACAGCAAATTTCTCAGCAGAAACCTTACAGACCAGAAGAGAATGGAATAGTATATTCAAAGTGCTGAAAGAGAAGAAAAACTGGCAGCCAAGAATACCATATCCACCAAGTAATCCTTCATAAGTGAAGGAGAAATAAAATATTTATCAGACAAGCAAATGCTGAGGGAATTCATTATCACTAAACTGGTTCTATGAGAAATGCTCAAGGGAATCCTAAACCTGGAAGTGAAAGGATGACATTTACCATCATGAAAATACACAAAATTATAAAACTCACTAGTAAAGCAATCACACAAAGAAGGGAAAGAGAAAGGACTCGAATGGTATCACTATAGAAATTCACCAAACCACGATGACAAACAATAAGAGAAAAACAAAAGAGCAAAGAATACACAAAACAACCAGAAAACCGCTAACAATATGACAGGAACAAAGCCGCACATATCCTTGAACATAAGCAGATTAAAGGATCCACATAAAAGACATAGAATAGACTTTTTTAAATGATACAACCATATTCTGCTTAGCAGCATATACACCTATCAGCATACAGACTGGAAAAGCCCACCTTACCAGTAAAGACACATATAGACTGAGAAAGTAAAGGAATGAGAAAAGATGTTCCATGCAAACAAAAACCAAAAGCAAGCAGGGATATCTGTACTTATATCAAGCCAAGCTGACTTTAAGTCAAGAACAGGAGAAAACAAAAAAGAAGGGAATTATATGAAGATAAAAGAATCAATGCAGCAAGAATATATAACAATTCTAAATATATATGTGCTCAACACTGGAGAACTAGATTCATAAAACAAATATTACTAGATCTATATACAGAGATAGACTGCAATATAATAGTGAGGGACTTCAACACCCCATTTTCAGCATTAGACAGATCATCTAGACAGAAAATCAATAAAAAAAATAAATTGAATTTAAACTAGACTTTAGAACAAGTGAACCTAACAGACATTTTCAGAGCATTCTATCCAACAACTGCAGAATACACATTCTTCTCATCAGCACATGGAACTTTACCAAAATAGACCATATGTTAGGCCACAAAACAAGTTTCAACATATTTTTAAAAATCAAACTCATATCAAGTATCTTCCCAGGTCACAATGGAGTAAAACTAGAAATTAACCCCAAGAGGAACTTTGGAAACTATATGAATACATGGAAATTAAACAACATGCTTCTGAATAACCACTGGGTCAAAGAATAAATTAAGATGCAAATTTTAAAAAATTCTTGAAACAAATGAAAATACAAATACAACATACTGAAACCTGAAGAATACAGCAAAAGCAGTGCTAAAAGGAAAGTTTATAGTAATAAATGCCTACATCAAAAAAGTAGAAAGATGACAAATTAACAATCTAACAAGACACCTCAAGAAACTGGAAAAGTAAAACCAAACCAAACTCAAAATAATTAAGACCAGAGAAGAACTAAATGAAATAGAGACTTAAAAATAAAAGATCAATGAAATGAAAAATTGATTCTTCAAAAAGATAAAAACAATCGATAAACCACTAGCTAGATTAATCAAGAAAAGTGAAAGAAGACCCAAATAAACAAAATAAGACACGAAAAAAGGGGCAGTACAATTAATATGACAGAAATTTTAAAAAATCATCACCAACTATGAAAAACAACTATCCACTGACAAACTGAAAAACCTAGAAAAAAAATGAATAAATTCCTGGAAACATACAATCTACCAAGATTGAATCAGGAAGACATGTAAAATCTAAACAGACCAATAATGAGTATTATTATTGAATCAGTAACAAAAGGCTCCCAATAGAGAAAATCCCAAGACAGGATGGATCCACAGTCAAATTCACCCAAATGTGCAAAGAAGAACTAATACCAATCCCCTGAATCTATTCCGAAAAGCCAAAGAGGAGGGAATTCTCCCTAATTTATTCTATGAGGCTAGCATCACACTAATACCTAAAATGGACAAGGAGAAAAAAGCAACAAAAGGAAAAAAGAAAAGAAAAGAGAGAGAAAAAAAAAAGGAAGGAAGGAAGGAAGGAAGGAAGGAAGGAAGGAAGGAAGGAAGGAAGGAAGGAAGGAAAAGAAAGAAAGAAGGAGAGAGAGAGAGAAAGAAAGAAAGAAAGAAGGAGAGAGGGAGAGAAAGAAAGAAAGAGGAAGGAAGGAAGGAAGGAAGGAAGGAAGGAAGGAAGGAAAAGAAAGAGAAGAAAGAAAGACAGGCAAGAGAGAGAGAGAAAGGAACAAGACAAGGATGTCCACTTTCATTATTCTTATTCACGATAGTATTGGAAGCCATAGCCAGAACAATCAGGCAAGATAAGTGAATAAAAGGCATCCGAATTAGAAAATAGGAAATCAAATTATCCCTCTGTGCTGATGATATGATCTTATACCTAGAAAAACCTTAAAACTCCACAAAAAAACTCAGATTTGGTAAATGAATTCATTAAGTTGCAGTATACAAGATTAATGTACAAAAATCAGTAGCATTTCTATACAGCAATAACGATCTAGCTGAGAAGAAAATCAAGAAGGCAATTCCATTTACAATAGCTACAAAAAAAAAAAACCTAGTAATAAATTTAACCAAGGCAATGACTGATCTCTACAAGGAAAACTACAAAACAATGATGGAAGAAATTGAAGACGAGGCACAGTGGCTCATGCCTGTAATCCCAGCAGTTTGAGAGGCCGAGGAAGGAGGATCATTTGAGCCCAGGAGTTCAAGACTAGCCTGGGCAACATAGTAAGACCCTGCCTCTACAAAAAAAAATTCTTAATCAGCTGAGTATGGTGGCATACAAGCTACTTGGGAGGCTTGGGCAGAAAGATTGCCTAAACCCAGGAAGTCAAAGCTGCAGTGAGCTGTGATTGTGCCACTGCACTCCAGCCTGGGTGACAAAGCAGGAGTTAAAAAAAAAGAAAAAGGAGAAAAAAAAAAGAAATCAAAGAGGACATCAAAAAACAAACAAAAAATATCCCATGTTCATGAATTGAAAGAAATAATATTATTTAAAATAACCATATTGCCCAAAGCAATCTACAGATTCAGTGCAATCCCTAACAAAATACCAATGCCATTCTTCACAGAATTAGAATGTGACTAGACTCCTAAGATTCATGTGGAACCAAAGGAAGAAAAAAGCCTGAATAGTCAAAGCAATCCTAAGCAAAAAGAATAAATCTGAAGGCATCACATTACCTGACTTCAAAATATATTATAAGACTATGGTAACTAAAACAGCCTGGTATTGGTATAAAATTAGACATATGAACCAATGGAGCAGAATAAAGAACTTAGAAATAAAGCCACATATTTACAAACAACTGATCTTTGACAAAGCTGACAAGAAATTACACTGGGGAAAAGAAATCTTGTTCAATAAATGGTGTTGAGAAAATTTGATAGCCACATGCAGAAGAATAAAACTGAACCACTATATCTCTCACTACATACAAAAAAAACAATTCAAAATGGATTGTTTAAGCCTTTAGGCTTAAATATAAGACCCCAAACTATAAAACTGCTAGCAGAAAAACCTAGGGGAAAACTCTCCTGGACATTGATCTAGGCAAAAAATTTATGACTAAGACATTAAAGCACAGGCAACAAAAACAAAAATGACAAATGGGACTTAATTAAACTAAAATGCTTCTGCACAGATAAAGAAATAATCAACAGAGTGAACAGGCAACCTGTTGAATGAGAAAAAATATTTGCAAACTATCAGACAGGAGACTAATACCCAAAATATACAAGGAACTCAAACAACAGGAAAAAACAAACAATCCCATTAAAAAGTGGGCAAAGGACATGAATAGACATCTCTCAAAAGAAGACATACCACATGGCCAATAAGTATATGAAAAAATGCTCAACATCAGTAATCATTAGGGAAATGTAAGTCAACACCACAAGGAGATATCATCCTATCCCAGTCAGAATGGCTATTACTAAAAAGACAAAAAATAACAGATGTTGGTGAGGATGCAGAGAAAAGGGAACTCTTATACACAGTTGGTGGGAATGTGAACTAGTCCAGTCACTATGAAGAACAATATGGAGAGTTCTCAAAATACCGAAAATAGAATTACCACTACATCCAACAATCCCACTACTAGGTATGTACACAGAGGAAAAGGGTATCAAAGGGTACTCGCACTCACATGTTTATTATAGCACTATTCATAATAGAAAGGCC